GGGGGTTGGGGGAAAAAAAGTAGAGGAGAGGGGGGGGGGGGGGGGGGGGCGTACTCTTATGTTTTGCATGCCTTAGCGGTTAGACCATTGACGACGCGTCCTCGAGAGGACGGAGCATTGTTCCCACAGGACCGACCACCGATGGCCAATCGTTCCTTCCTACATTGCCAAAGGTGGCTCAAAAACGTCTTCCCTAGTCCGTCTATCCTAACGATATCCCTTCCCGCCTTTTCAAACCACTTCCTACTCCCCAGTACAGCTACCGTCGTCTCCTCTCTATGCCTTGCCTCAAACATCTCCCTGTACGTCCCTTGTATTTTTCCCAGCGCAGTCATGTACACTTCCCTCTCCTTACTGTACAGCCCACATTCCGCGGCTACATGAACACGGTCTTCGCATTCGAAGCCACAATCACACTTGAGCTTGTCGTCTTCGTCGTCTACCGTCCTATGTCTTCGTCGACGTTCTCGAAGGCCTATGTCCCCGGTCCTGAATTTGACCTTAATTAAGCTTTGTCCCTGCATCCATTGGTCCATGAAGGTAATCCTTGAACCCTATTCCTTCTTGCAACATCCCGTACACTTCTAGACCCTCTTTATCCTCGGTTTCTTTCCTTATATTCTGTTCTTCTCTCTCGGCACAAGCAACAGGTATCTTCTTCTTGAACCCCTGTATATGCTCCGTTTCCAGCGTTTCATCTTCGTCGATGTCGAACCCCTTCCATGCGTCCTCTACAACCTTTACCCATTCCGTGGGTTGTCTACCCCTCTTTTTGTTTGCCCACTTCGCCTCCCACACTATTCTCGGCAACCTCTCCTCTCCCATCCCGCACATGCGCGGGGGGGGGGGATGCACTCATAGTCGTGCATGCCGTAGTCATTAGACCAGTGACCTCGCATCCCTACAAAGCCGGGACGGAGCTCGCCGGGTTCTCACCAGGCTCTCACATCACCAAGCGCGAAGCGCCGTGAGGTATTCGGCGAGTCGCATGAAGGGTGCGCTGCATCCTGCTAAGGGTGTTCGGCATCTTGTGCTCACTTCCTTGCGTACGGATGACAGCTGCGTATGACTTAATTTATTTTCTGGTGCGTTCACTTCGAGAGACAGTTAACCCTTACTGCTGTGTAACTGCCTCGAGGGCGCTTGATCTTTTTAACACAACGTGGTGCGATCATCCCCCGTTGCGCGGAGTGAGCGGGGGGGGATGAAATCTATAGTACAACGTGGCGCTTGCTGGTTATGGCTTGAAATGTGGGAGACGCGGTGCGTTCAGGTCGCGCACTTCCATCTCCAAGACGGAGCACTCTATAACCGCACCCTCTTCTAAAGCCATGCATGATGTTGATGGCCGAGCAGAAAGAAGTTGGAATGCATAGTACGAACAATAAAAGGCCATCGATGAATTAATTCTCATTTCACTATTTTCAAAGGCATCATCAGCCCACAGGCACACGCACGGAACACACCACGAGCAATCCCCCGCCGCACCGCAAAAAACGGGCCGGATGGCTCATCAGTCTTCTTTCTAAAGAGTCGCACACCAATAAAAGCGACACACAGCAGTTTGGGGCAGGTACCATGTAAAATATATTGCAGGAGGGGGGGGGGGTTGGGGGGGATTATATTCCGGCCCTCTCCCTTCTTTTTTTTTGGCTGTTTTTTTGGCGACGAGAGATACAGCAGCAGTGGATAGATACCCCGGCTGTCCATTGGCACAATTTAGTCACACAACACACGTACTTGTCTGGTGATGGCTACCACCTTCAGCGGATGCTGGCCGTGGTGGCCGATGCGCCGGGCCAGGCGCTCCGAGCGGGAGGCCCCGAGGTGATCGGGAGTGTCGTCTCTTACAGCGGTCTTCTGAGTTGAACTCCGCTGCTGCCACGCAACTACTTTTGGCCCAAGAGAGCAGCGCACCTGCACACGGCTGGCCGTAACTTGAACGTCTTCCGCTCGCTGTCGTTCGCCTTTACCTCTCTCCCTCTCTTGTGTGCGTGTTCAGGGGAGTGAGTCGCAAGGTGAAGAGCCGATTCACCACAGTAAGGATGCCTGCGCAGGTGTCCTCTGCTGGGCCCGCGGGAGGAGGAAAGCCGCACTCACCCTGCGGCGGCGGCAGCGGCGGAGAGGAAAAGAGTTCTGCCTCTTACGCGGCCGTAGGAGCAGTTGCCGGATTGGAGACAGGCAGAGATGGGGAATCGTCTGGGGGAAAGCATCCATCGCAGCAGAAGGACGACGGGGATTCACAGCCAGCGGCAGCCGTGGCCGTGAAGGTGTGCTTGCGGCATAGGGTTGGGCATGGTAGTGGGTGGCGCTGCCATGAGCAGCAGACGACGTAATAAGTAGGGGCAGAAGGAGGTAGCTGTTCTCGTTCTGAACTTACTGAACCCACGACAGGAGCCTGTCTCCCTCATCCCCGTAAACCGTGAAAGGGCGCCGATACACACACACACGATGCTTCCTCGCACCCGCACGTACGCATTCATCACCGCTGCGCCCTTGCCGGGCCCCGTGGTGGGACTTGTGCTGCGTTATACTGGACACAGAGAACGAGAAACTGCGTGCAGCGTCTGTATACCACCAACATCTGGTTGTATCTCTCCGTCGTTTTCGTTGACTGGGCTCTTTCATGTGTGCTGCTCCCAACCTCCTTCCTCTGCCTGCCCTGCTCTCCATGAGAGCGTAGGTAAGGAAGGGTGGCTTGTTCGGAGTGTTGCGACGCACGACGGTCGGCGGCGGGGCGGACGACGACGTGGTCCACGTGCCTGCGGGAGAGATATGCGTGATCTGCATGGAGCCGTTCCAGGCAAACGATGTGCTCGAGGTTCTGCTCTGCCAGCACATGTACCATCAAAGGTGAGACAAACGAAAAATTGCAGAACAGAAGTTGCGGAGGTTTGTAATTGGTACAAAAGAGCGGCAGCGGCCAGCAGCAGCAGCAGCAGCAGCGCTCTCTCCCGGCATTTTTGTTCGCGTTCCCAGCAGGCAATGGTGGCGGCAGTGGTATTGGATGGTGGCGGCAGTGGTATTGGGATTTGATGGAAGGGCTATGAGTGAGGCCATCAACGTGAGCTCCTCGTCAGTTGTTGGCAGGAGGCGCACCCACAAGCAGTTTTTTTTCCCGCAACAACTCAAAACGCATCAAAATAGCAATTTACTCTATTTACTGCTGTTCGTACCGGCTGGTTCGTGTACAATGTGTAAACTTCGACGGCTTTGTGGTCGAAACTGGAAGGATTTTATGTGCTCCCGTCCATTTTCCGACTTTTTAATTCATTTCCGATCCAAATTATTTGTTCATCAACCATCGGCGTAAATACTTTATCCAACCAGTTCTTAGGTTTCCGGGTTGTGGGAGGTGAGGTTAAAAGGTAAAGGCCCGAGTGGCCGAGTGGGGTACAATTGTAGAGCATTTGTGCGTGGCGTTGTTGAAAAAAAACATAGACTGCATACAGATGGCGCCCGCACTTAAGAACATCTTAATTTGCGTGAGGCTGGGGTTCTTAGTTGCCTGTTGAGGCTGCGAATGGCCATTATATAGGTTTTAGTGTGAGGTTCTTAACGGGGACCACTAAAATACGCTCATGTTCATGAGTTTTGGATTTTTTGAGCCTCATGTTCTTAACAGGTAGGTTCTTAAGTGCGGGCGCCATCTGTACACAAACAAGCAAAATCACTGAACACATGCCGCTGGATGGCATGGGTGAGTGTATCGTACAATGCATAATAGAACAAAATGTTTGGGTCGCATTGCTCTCAAACAATCTATGCATATCTCACATCTACGCCGGCGGCTGGTGTGGGGCGATGGTTCTATCTATTCAGGTGCCGTACATTAGAAATAGCCCGGGCATGAGACTTCTCCATAGACTACATTTCTGCTCAGGTTGGGTGCAAGTACATATAGTTGTATAGCTTGCAGATGTCATGTCAGGCGAACGGCGGTATTATGGCAGATTCTCACGCTTGACGCTTGGGACAAAGCTGTGTCCTCTTTTCCGTCTAAACATGTGTCGCGTTCAAATCTACCCGCGGCGGGCCTACGGCTGTATCGTATGCATATGCATACTTCATCTCTCTCTCTCTCTCTCTCTCTCTCTCTCTCTCTCTCTCTCTCTCTCTCTCTCTCAAAGGTTGGAGATGGGGCACGATTTATTGCATGTCTTCGCCAGCTGCGCTGGAAACAGGGCGGTGGTGCCATGAAAGAGGCAGAATATTCTGTGTAGTGCTGTATGCGCAGGTGGCCTCCCTTCACTTGCTTGCCAATTTTGCACCTGTGTGTGGTATTATATTGTAGCGGCAGGAAATCTGGACGCGAAGAAGAGTCTTTCGTTGACTGATTTTAGGTTAGATTTTAGGTACCAAATGGTGCCGATGCTCCGTATGCAACGCTCGCCAAATGTTGCCTGGCATGCATGCACAGCCCTATTGTTCCATCGGGTCCACGAGCTGGACTTCTTTTATTGTAAGACTAAATAGTGAGCCGCGGAGCGCGAAGCGCGACTAGCTGTTCTTTTCCCTCCGTTCGAGGAGGGAAAAGCAGGCTCTATCTATATATACCAGGGGCCCAAGTTTCTAAAAGCGACCGCCTGAATTTTCCCTCCTTTCAGACCAGCACGAGGTCTAAAGAGCACCGATTAACGATCGACTGGCTTGTGACGAAGTAAAAGAGTAGGGCGCTCTTCGCCACAGCAGATGGCCGTGCGTCACCGGCGTTTGTACCCAAGAACCGTAGGAGATACTCAACCCCATCCCCGGGAGTTGTCAAGGTAATGGAGGACCAAAAGGTCGGAGATCTCCCACACACACGCACGCAATCACGCAGTTGGAACAGAGGAAGCACTCAGCTAAACACGCCACACCGCTGGGAGGGGCAAGACAGCACTGGCGGGGAAAAGGAGCCATGCATATAGCTCCTGCCGAAACGTTTGGGAATATCATACGTATTCATATCCACACCAACTGGAAATGCACACACTCCTTGCCGTGGAAGGGATTGCTGTGGTGGGCAGCAGGCAAAGGCTGGTGTTGGGCTGGGAAATAAATGTAGATGGCGAATCTCGGACAAACAAAGCGTATCCTCACTCGTTCGTGCAGTAGTCTATCGCCAGACTCGCAACGAAAAAAAAAAAAACAGAAGATATATTTGTACTATAATAAGAAGCAATGTTTGGAGATGTTGGATGGGTCACTGAAAGAAAAAATATAGAGTAACGTACACCGCTTCCCGAAGGCGTATTATCACCACCATCCCAGCCATTTAATTTCGTGTCACTTGAACGAGAAGATAATACATACAAGTGCATCCGGTACTATACTATACACTACTGATGTACACTACTTCCCCAAGAAAATATAGGAACCCCCCTTTTACCTCACGGTATGGGTGTGTGAAAAACATCAATACACCCCCAGTTGTTGGGTATGGACGCTTTTCATTTCGTGTAACTTGAAGGACAACATTGTGCATACTACATCCAGCTACACTGTTTACTACAGATGCCGGGGTTGCTATCTCGACCACAGGAGGGTTTTGATCCCTCAGTCGTCTGTAGACAGGCCATCTCTCCGGAGCAGTGGTGGGGACCGCGAGGTAGACGAGGGACAGGGACAGTTCTCTGGGAAGAGGCGACGGTTTCGGATGTGGGATCTGAGGAACAGGTCATGAGTAACCGGGGAGGGGCGGGGAGGGGCGTGCACAGACTGACTCCTTCTTGTGCACCACGCGGCGCGGAAAAATGAGAAATGCACAGAAAAGCGCAGGATACAGCCACGCATGCATGAGTTGAAAACACGCATGTTCGAAGAAGCACAGCGTTTCGTGGAAATGGGGCGCTTGAAGAATGGAGCGAAACGGGCCGAAACACAAAACGTATACGAAGTACTTGCTTAGCAGCTGTGTAGATTTTCGTGCGGCGCTGCCTGGTACTTGTGCGAGTGTAGACATGGCTGTCATGTTGTCGTGCGGTGCAGCAGAAGGCGCTTGTGCTATGTGTGTGTGTCTTTTTTGTTAGCATTGACCGTGCTAACCGGCTGACAATGAAAATACGTCAGTCTCGAGTGCGGTGCAAAATTCAAAAATGCTCTTTGGCCGCGATCTGGGACCCTGTGACCGAGCGCCACATGGGAGAGTCCACGCCATTCGCACGATTAAAGACAGATACCGTAGCAATAACAGAAGAATACTTGCACTCGTTTGCCATGGCTGCTACTACTCTGGATGCGCGTGCGTTTTGCGTTGTTTTCATCGTCTTCCCCTGCATTTCCTACCGCCACTCTCGTTGCCAGCATTCCCACTACTTTTTGTCGGGTCCTCTCCAGTCCCGCCTGCGGCGTTGGTTGTGAGGAAGGTCACCTTTGCTATCTTCCATGCCATGTTTTCCCCCTCCATCATCGCCTCCACTCTCCTTTCTATCTTTCTCCTTTCTTTCATCATCGCCATTCTGTGTGTGTGTGTGTGCGTGTGTGTGGACTGAGGGCACCCGTCGATACCTCAGACCGTGCCCCCGAAAAGGGTGCGAGAGACCGCAACAAGCTTCGGTTTGCGGCAGCGTACAGAGGGATGGGGAGCCGGATATAGTCTACACAGGAAGAAGGAGAGAGAGAGAGAGAGAGAGACAAAAGACGACTAAATAGCTCCGTGGAAACGAAAGAGGAGACCCAGCTGGAAGTTTGTCGTGAAGACCCTCGCTGTGCCTCTCTCTCCAAAGGCTAAACACTGAAAAAATCGCGCTCTCCCCCTCCCCCCCCGCCCGCGCGCGAATGACTTGACTGCAAATACACATCTAGGTGCATCCACGAATGGCTGGGCAGCCACAAGTCGTGCTGCGTGTGCATGGCGGACATGGAGGAGATGGCGAGGGCAACGAAGAAACCTTCCCGTCGGCACCGCCGTCGTTCACGTGAGTTGCGGGCTGCGGAAGAGGCAATGGCAATAGGCAGACACCGTGCAAGAGGCCGGAGAGATGGTACCCCCCCCCCCCCCCGTAGACCGATTATCAAAGCGGGATTGCTTCAAGACCAAGCTTGTGCCAACACCAAAAGTGTTTTTTAAGGTTTTGGAAACATCTCGTCGAGGGCTGGCTTTCCGTAGACTGCATCGGGCTCCTTTCTGCGCCCGCTTGGTTGTGGAGAAAATAATCGAACTTTGAAGGTCGGCCTGGGGGGGGTGCCACCTGGCCACCTCTTACGGTAGGTGTTAACGGCGTACGCATTTGTCAGCGCAAAGTATTACGTCACGGTACAAGATTCAGTTGTTAGGTATGCCGATTCATGTTTCCTTCTAGTCAGTGCGCGTTTGGGTTGTTGGTTTCCGGCTGCATGGTGTACATCTGTTTTTTTTTGTAGCTTGGTACGTGGCCTGGTTCCTCGACTGGTGCCTCCGAGAAGATGGATGGGGTTGAATTGTTGTTGTGGCAAGCCTCCGGTCACGGAAAAACGTTCACAGATCGCGGGACTAACAAATGGTAATGTTGACTTTGGTGATACACACAGATCCGAGCTGTCTGGAGCCTGCGTGCACCCACCAGTACGCGTGATTGGTTGGGTGTTTTTTGTCTCGTTCGTGTGTAGTCGTCGTTGACGCTTGTGACGCGCTGCTGTTGTTGCCACGAACGACCGCACAGACGCCAGAGACAGCACCACCAAACATGGCTATCGGTGCAAGCACCAGACGTTCCCTCGGGCATCTAGGGAGGGGGGCGGTTGTTGGGGTTGTATATAGTCGTCGACCCGCGTACCCCCCTTTAGGTTATCTTTTGTAGTCTGTTTTCGTTTATTCCGTCATGTACATCGCCTTGACCTGATTCCCAAACAATTTTCTTTTTCGGCGCCTCCGCGTGTTGTCCCTTTTGGCGCAACACCGGGGAACGGGTGACGCACCACACGACTTGCTGCGGACCAAAAAACACGTGCGTGTGCCACCATCATCTCAAGGGGCGCGACCAGCGACGATATTGGAGAGATCGGAGAGCCTGAGGTCGGAGTCCGGGTACAGCTCCGACCAGGCCCGCTCCACGCTGTCCTCGATGTCGGCTCCAGCCGCCTTGGCGGACAGGCTGCCGGCCGACAGCGGCCGACCGCAGGCCAGCGGCGAACCGCCACCGCTACCGCTGCCCTGCACGCTCCAGCCCAGGATCGGTGGTACTAGTGACGCCGGGCCTAGCTGGACTTGGCACCAGCCTCGCGGTCACGGTAGAGCTTCAGGCGTCGGCGGGCGCCCCGCCGAGAGCAGAGCGGCGCCCGTTGGACGGTCGCCGACGCCCATACCGAGGTCGTCGCTGCTCAACCCTCGGTGGCCGCGCAACCCGAGGTCGCCCGCGGCGCGGAGCACTGTTATTACCCGGCGGCGAACGGCGGCGGTATTGGGATTTTCTAGCCCGCCCGCGGTAAGCACCACATCGCCCGGTCCCTCTGCTGCTGCTGGTGCTGCTGCGTCGTTGAACACGAGGTTAACACCCGTGTCGGAATGGACGCTGCAGAGCGGTGCCGACGGCAGCCGAGAACGCAAGACCAGCGGCACTAGCAGCAGCAGCAGCAGCAGCAGCAGCAGCAGCAGCTTCTGCGGGAACACGAGCAGTATCGACAGCAGCGACGGCGAGGATCAGAGCCCCTCCGATCGGTAAGTAAGGGATGATTCTGGGAACATGCGAGGACGGTGCTCTAGAGGAAATTCTCCATTCACGACAGCAGTGTACATACTCTTTGTTGGTTGTTGGTTGTTGGTTGTTGCTGTTGACATTTTTGGTGCGTAACTCGTCTTCCTGATGCCGACCCCATCACCTCATGATCCAAATCAGCACTGGTACGACCAAACCGACATGTGTCGTCCCAAGTTCAGCACAGAAAGTGCAAAATATTTTTGCGAAGTCCGGAAATTCCGGAAATCTCCCGGCGGGGTGATGTGGAGGGTGCCTACCCGAGGGGATGTCGACGGCTGCGTTGGATGACAACCAATGGGTGACAGTGTCGCCCTGGCGCACCAGTTGTGCGTATATTTTGTGGCAGTATTTCAACATGTATTCCGCTCTCTCCCCCTGTTGTGCGCTCTTCTTCCATTTTCGTGCTTGCGTGCGGTTGTATCAGAGCGGCGCAGTTCGGCAAATTTGGGGGAAACCGGCCAAGCGGTCCGTACTCGCACAAGTGAGTGGACGTGTGCAAGAGGGGAAGGGGGAGCATTGACCTTTCGCTACGTAGTATTTAGGTTGTTTTGTGCCTCTTCTTTTTGGAGTACCCCACCTCGTTGTGTTTCTCTCGAACGGATCGAGGTGATGACGCTCGTAACACGCTCATCAATTTCTTACAATCATGTGTAAACAGCAATTTACCACGTTCCCGTACAAGCGTATGCGCGGCGCATGTTGCGTCTACAGCAGCATTTACATCGCGCATTTGCTGTGGAAATTCACCTCCAGCGCTGGTTGGACGCAGACAATGGCGTAGTATCAGCCGCTGTGCTTACTCAAACCTCCACCACCGTCCCCCGTCTCTGCTCACCCCCCGCCCCCGCCCCCGCCCCCGCCCCCGTTCCCGATGGCATATGCCCACGCCGCCATCACCCGAATACATAGCACCTTTCTTTCTGGCAGGTCCTCGGAGAGGGCTGGTCGGCCGGCGGTGCAGTTGTCGCCTTCGTTCCGCCCGTCCGCGCGTTCGTCACGGTCTCCCCAACGCTCCGGACTCCTGGATCGGTATCCCCGAGGCCGTCACTTGTCTCCGGCCGCGGTCCACGACAGAGCGGCGGCGGCGGCGGCGGCGCGGCCTCGTAGCGCATCCGGTAGCTCCCCGCTGCTGCCCTCGCGGACGGAAATCGTGCGCCCGACTCCACGGGCTAGTAGTACCCCTGCTCCGCGACCTCCATCGGAGGGTGCGAGCGCGGCCGCTGCTGCCGCCGCGGTGGCAACAAGTCCCACCGCCAGCCCGTCCAACCGGGAGCAGGCGGTGCTGCAGAGAATTTCCGCTCCTGAGTCTCCTCGTTCGGGTTTCCCCTCGGCGGTGGCGACGCTCTCCACCCCGCAGCGGATGCGGCGGAAGTCTTACACGCAGCCGGCGACGTCGTTCTCCGTAGAGGACACGCTGCTGTTGGCGTCGAGCGGTCTAACGGCCTCAGCTAGCGGGACGTCGCCGGCGCCGGCGACCCCCCAGCGCCGGTGGGAAGCTTCTCCGTCGACGCCCCGTAACTGGCCGACCATGACTTCTTCCGCGAGCAATACTCCTAGCAGCCGCCACCGCCGTATCCGCCAGTGGGACTCCACGCAGCTGCGCGGGGTGGTGGGGGCGGGTGGGCCGGCCGCGGGGAAAAGATACGGAGGTGAACCCGGCAGGAGTCAGTCGTGGGGGGAACGAAAGGAGACTGAGGCGGAGGAAGAGAGACATGGCGGCGGCGTCAGCGGCTTCGGCGGCTGGAGCGGCAGGGTGCCGGGGGAGGGTGCCGCGGCTCGAGTTTACGTCGGAGCGAAACTGGAGCAGCCGCTGGGTGTAGGCGTGCGGAGGGCCGGGGGGGGAAGGGGCAGGGCGAGTGCTCCCTTGACGGAGTCAAGCCCGAGCAGTGGTGTAGTCTTGAGGAGGTCGTGGGAAGAGAGGAAGTTTTCGACGAAGGACGAGGATGAGGAGGAGGAGGAGGAGGGGAAACGTCGCACCAGTCGGGAGAAAGACGAAGGCGTCGCTCGACCACGGGGCGTCGCCAGCTTTGGCGTCGGAGTTAGTACCGAAGGAGAGCCGCCGCCGCCGCCGCCGGATGGCGGCAGCCCGCCCTCGACGCCGCTGTCGGCGAAGCCGCCGGGGTGCGATTGGGACTCACCGGTCCCCGCCGCCGGTGGCCTGGACGGCCGCCGTTCGAGGGCCACGCGCGCCGAGGAGGAGGACAGGTGGCTGGAAGACTTCTTGGAGAAGAGCCCGCCCTCCGAGCCCGGGAGCCACAAGACGTGCTCCACCCAGTGGTCGGAGATGGAGTCGCAGTCGCAAGGGTCCGGGAACTCGTACGCCGGGAGCACGACCAGCAGCAGCGCGATGAGCGGTGAGGCTGCCTGCCGCCTTACGCGTTTTTTTGTTTTTGCTTCGTGCCGTCTCTCTCTGCTTCTCTTGTGTGGTCTCTTACCGATGATGGTATCGCTGAGAACAAAGTCATGTTGTGTGTAGGGGCTAAGAAGGCTTGGCGACTGCCGCCTGTGAAGATCGTCAACCGGGAGTGCACAATTCACAACTCTCATGCATGGAAAGATACATAGCAACGGTTACCCGCGGTGGGCTGAACTAATTCCTGCGCTGTCTGTGCCGACGTCGCTTCGTCGGCAACGTATGCAAACCACCTGGGCCACCACGCACAAACACCATGGTGGACACACGATCGATTTCAGTCTTTCCCCTCTTTTCGTTGTTCCAGTCACACCACTCTCTCTTATGTCTTATTATCCTCTAACCCCCCCCCCTCCTCAGCACATCCCGCGGGAAGACGGTCGGTCCACACGTGGTCATCGACGACGAGCCCGCGTCCCCACGCGCCCACAATCGCCGAGGCGAAACGCCATCCACCCGCCTCCTCGTCGCCGTCGCTGGCGGTAGTGGTGTCTACGGGCGGGCCCAAGAGCCGTCCGGAACCTTGGAAACCCCGGGAGGATGTATCGGGGGGGGATACTCCTAGCCTACTGACCCCGGGAGCCTTGACTCCGGGTGCCCTGCGCGCCAGGTCAGAGTCCGCCCCGATGATATGGGACTGAGTGGGCGACAAGGAAGGCAATGGTTTTTCGTTGCGTGGGGGGGTTGCGGGGAGGGGGCAGGTTTTGCTCCACCGTGGATGTTCTCTCGAGAAGAACCGGGAGAGGAGGTGGAGGGCTAGAGCGGTGATATTTTTCTGAGCGTGTTTTGTTTTTCCTCGCTCTCTCTGTCAAGGAGGAGAAGACGGGGGGGGGGGGGGCGCAGTTGGGGGTGTATCCTTGCCCCGTGTGTTCCCTTTCCTACGACTGTGGCTGTTTTCGGGTAAGTGGGACAATTGGCTGTGTTCTGCCGGAGGTTCGCGTACGCTGTGTGTGTACTCTTGGTTCGATATCCCTTGTCTCTTAGCGGTGACGAGCCGGGTGGTTATAGATGGCACGGCTCGTGCGGCTGCGGCCTCTCGGGGGGGGGGGGGGGTTGAGTGGGACGGATTGGGAGTCGAGAGCATGGCCAGCGAGTGATGCGGCTGCGGCATTAGCCCACCTACAAGTGTGGGTCTGTCTGTCCGTGTGTTTAGTCTGAATGTTTTGTTTCTGTGTCTTGTGCTTCTGCCGGTGTCTGTCTCGTCTCTTTGTATGGCCTGTCTGTCTCTCTTGTCTTGTTGTCTGTCCTAAACCTTCGAAACTTTTGGTCGTACGAAATTGACCCCTTGTACGGATTAACCCCATGGCCAGCAGGTTTGTTCCGTTGCCGAGCATTTAGAAGGGTGCGAAGAGGGGTTAGCTGGGTAGGGGTCGCGCGAGAAACAGGCATTGGATGGACGACTTGTATTCCGCCACACACGCACTTTCGAAGGTGTTGAATCCGTAAGTTAGTTTACTCTGTAAAATATTTGTCCTACTTTTCTTGCTTATTTAGAATATTTTTCGTGTATTGTAACAACCGTTTGTGCACGCGTGTTTTTTTGTTTTTGGTACTGCTTCAAGTATAGTCGGTCTAGTGCTGTGCTTTGCGACACATTGCTCTGATTTTTTTTTTTTTCTCTAGGACCGGAGTCGGAAGCCTGGCTGCACATTGTTCATGCGTTGAGGATGCAATGTACTCGGCGTGTGTTGCGTACATGTAAATTAGCGGGGGGGGAAATGAGATGGCAACGCTTGTTAAAGTGATTAATCCAAGCCACTGTCGAAATTGTGCTGGCTGTCTGCCGCTGGGTGGAGTCCATCGCGTTTGGCTACAATTTCTTTTTTTAAGTCTCGTTTTCGTCGGGAGCCTTGTCGTCTATGTCTGGCCTGCTGTGTTGGTATGTGACGCACATCTTTTTTTTATTTCCGGTTGTACGGGTCCGGCGTCCATTTAGTGTCCCCCGCCCCCGTTCCCCGGGCATCTTCATTGTTTTGTGAAGAAACTAATTGACAGTCAGTTAGTGCCGTAGAGGCAACTCTCCTACTGCTCGATTTCCCCACTCGAATGGCGGGAGAAACAAACAAAAATATACGACCTTTCATGGGGGGTAGGCAGCGCGGCGTTTTTGAGTGGATTTTATTTAGGGTTGTGTGGTAAGACAACAAATGTTTTTTGTATAGTGCTCTAGTATACCTTGCAGAGGCGGATGGATGGCTTTTTCCCGGAAGATGTACTTGTAGGCTGAAATCTCCATATCTTCGTGTACACACATGGCCATCGATGATATTTTTGTTTTTTTCTGGGTCCGCATCATGCATGTCGGTCGGTCGCGGTGGTTCCCGTTCGTTATCAGTTGGTGGCGTTGGCTTGCACGCCGATGACGTGAGCGTGTTTCTTGGTTCTGGGGTACATTTTTTTTTTTAGAATCACCACACGGAGAAATTCCGTGTTTCGCACCAAGACGCAGGCAACACTATCGGTCGTTTCGTCATCGTGTAGACTAATTGTTGTCGAGTTTGGATTGACTGCGTACTGGATGTTGCTACGTCTTGCTCTTTCTCTTTACGGGCTTGTCTTGTGTCTGTCGTTCCTCGGAAAGGAAACCACTAACTCTGTTGTTCGTTATTTGCTACTGCTGCTGCTACGTGTCTCTCGTCATTTTCTTTTCATGTTTATGTAAGCCATACGTTGTGGGCGCCATGCCCCCCCCCCACACGGAAGTCGGGACGTAGGGTGTCCTTCTCGGCACCCTATACGCATGGATGAATGTGCGTGCTGCTGCACGATGGTGTTGAGGGAGGGATAAATGGCACATTCCAAGTAAGTCTGGTCTAGCGTCAACCTCTATCGGCCACAATCATCCCCTGCATTGCCGCCAGAACCTGATCGTTCGAGGAGCGTGGCAACACTGTCGGCATGCACTTGGTCATCTCAGGACCCTGAGCAGACTTCTTGTTGATTTGGCTCCAAAGGTGTCCTACGTAGTTGGCTCCAATATGTCTTAATTTAAGATGTCTTAGTTGGCAGCAACATACCGTTCTTGGCAGCGAAATGCCTTACCGACTCCAGCATGTCTTCATTTCCGAGCGGCTCGTCGAGATCCTTGCATCACTAGAGATTAAAACCTTCGCTTGCCCATCATCGGCCGAAAGTATTCTACGTGTAGAACACCACCAAGACACTCACTTACTCCTCAACTTGCAACAACCAACCCAAATGACCAAAGCCTTGACATCGAGGACGGAAGATAAGTCTTAGCATGTAGAGGCCAATGAAGCATTGGTCGACGTGAAGACCACGATGATGTCAACAGCAACAAGGATACCAATCCCGACATCCAACAGCAACAAGAAGAAAACCAATTACTGAAGTAATTAATACTTCCGACAAGGACGACGGACAGTCCTGACGATAACGACCGGAAACGTTCCTGGGTGGTGATGGAAGATTGATTATGATGACGACGACGCCCAGCGTCCGCGGTCACACGGACGATGCCATCGGCCCCTGCTGCTCTCCCCTTTAAAGCTGTCAAGGTGTTGCACGGACGGTGCCCGGTTTGATTGATGCCTTCCTCCGGGAGTGTCGAATCATGGTGACGGCGGTCGACCACGGAGAATGATGATGACGGCCATTCATGACGAAGAAGAACATGGACGGACCACCCAGCCAGGAAGCAAATACCCTCCTTGGGCAAGCGATGCCTGACTGACGATGGACACGTCATGTGTATCTTGTAGCGAGGACAACTCACTGGTGGTTGGTCTGATTTGTCACCACGCGGCACTACGCGCCATCACCACCATGAAACAGACGCTGCTTGCTGTGCATCATCATTATCATCATCGTGATGGAGACGTACGCCGGGCAGAGGGCTATTTTCTCTCTTGATATTTAGTTGGGGGGGGGGGTGGGGCCGGGGCCCCGGGGTGGACGACGAGCGAGTCCAACAAAAACAATACCGCGCGCGCGCTCTATCTACTGCTGTTTAACTTAGTCTACAGTACGTCTACACAACAACACGAACAACGTCAAAAAAAGAACGATCGCGCGAACAATAACGGGGCCCAAACAATTCCGTAGTTATTGGCCAGAATTCCGTCAGTTCATGGTTTTCATCAAATCGGATAACTCCCCCAAAGCGAGTTCGCGGCGTTCCGTGGGTCGGGCGGGCGGGCGGGTCGGGCGGTTGCTGTCTGTCGAAATTGAATGGGAACGAAACGAATCGTAGTACATAGTGCATACGTTCCGGCAGGAAACAAAACTGAAAGAAGGGGCGATTTTGGTCTTGTGTTCGGTTGCGAAACGCACCGATCGATGGGTAGTGGGTTTTGGTAGAGACTAGCTATCCCGTATACGACTGACTACGGCGACGAATCGAAAAAAACTCTGGGCGAGGGGAGGGGGGGGGAGGGGGAGGGGGCACCGTGGTACCAACCAACAAAAATTACCAAACGTAAAACAAAGGAGTAGCTCCGCAGCTCATTGCCAGGCCAGAACAACAGAAAGCAGACCTGGTGGTACGGCATTCGTGAGATGCATGCGTAAGGCTCGCCTCCGCAACGAAATATAGCCAGATTACGTGCGGCGGGCGACCTATATTAACAGATCTTCAAATCTTCAAGGGGGAAGGGGGAGGAAACACAAACAAATATCACTTCAACCAACACCTAAGCTAGAACATAAACACCGATCGATGAAAATATCGTTACAACTTGTTCACTAGAAAGAAGAGTGGCCAAACACCGTAAACGCAAAAACGGCTAGTACGGACGAGATGTCGTCGGGCTAATGACACCGTTCGTATCTTCACTCAAATCCCCAACCATCCCCCCCCCCCGCACACACAACAGAGGGTTTACTTTACTTACACGCCGAATGAAACGAGTGTGTCTGCTAGCCAACCCACAAACAAACCGCACACCGGCGGCGGCCAAGCGTGGCGGGGTATTTCAAAACACTGCTGCAGCCACTGCTATTGCCTCCACTCACCTTGAGCACACTTACCTTTGCACCGTCGCCTCCTGCGGAAACTTCGGGCGGGGGCGTGGTCCGTGACGGCAGAGAGATAGATGCATCCTCTTAAGGACTGAATCCTCTCTCGCTTCGACACCCCCACCTGACCGATAGCAGCAAGCAGTCGTCCCGTCGTTTGTGGCATGGGAGAGCAGGAGGATAGTTTGGGGTCGACGGAAACCGAAGAAAGTGATTTGTTGCACGCGTATGTACGTATAGACAGAGTGCACACGTTGAACTTGAGGCGACTGGCCATGCAACCCCTATTGCATGTGCGTCTTCTTCTTGTGATATTTCAAAGAATGTGCTCGAGGCTCTACAGCAGTCTACAAGTTCCGCCACATGAAGCAAATGTCTTGTTTTGCCCGTTATCGTAGCAGAACGCACACCCTGCAAGGAAACCATTGAGTCTTGTCGCATCAGCCCTCATGCTCAATTACCCTGGGCGAGGCCTACTGAAAAATGACACAAGCACGGGAGCACGAGGCAAAGGCTCGACCCCTAACACGTACCGTAGGCCCTGCCTGCATCGCCAGTGTACGACGACAGAAATATCTCTACCTCTTCGAGCCAGCCAGGAACACGTGGTGCGAACGCCCAACACCGATCCCGTAAACTGTATCTAACCCCCTTAGGAAGGAACGATTGGCCCTCGGTGATCGGTCCTGTGAGAACAATGCTCCGTCCTCTCGAGGACGCGTGGCCAGTGGTCTTCACCGCCTGGCTAAGGCATGCAAAACACAAGAGTACCCTCCCTCGGAGACACCACCCTTAGAAATACAGGTGTGTGCATGCGGGATGAATGAGAACATCGGCACTCGACACCGGATCCATTCCACCCCGGCTTCTGCACGTCTACGGCTAGCGAGGAGTCCTTGAAGCCTCACCTTCCACTACCGCAGGTTGTGCATGCTCGACAACGACCCCGCGCCGCCGCCGCCGCCGCCGCCGCCGTGGCCCGCCGCCTTCCCGCGGGCCTTGGCGTTAGGCGGGGACCCGAACATGTCCCAAAACCTCAGGGTCTCGTCGGCAGCCGCGGACACGACCGTCGAGCCGTCCGGGGAGGTGTCCATGTGCAACACCCTGCCAGGTTGTTCGATTGTACATACATTAGGGTCAATGACACATGTCAGATGCCGGTGGAATGAGGGAAGGACCGTCATTTTTTGCGGCGTGAGAAAATTAAGGAAAGAGAAGGGTCAACAACTAACAGGAGACACCGAAAAAAAAAAATAGTTAGATAAAAAGGACCCCAAAGCCGTGTGGTTGTTCCATTCACTGGAAGCGCAATCATCCTCCGGAGATATTGCAGCGGAACAAGTTAAATAGCCGCCGGAGGCTTGGAATGGGGTTGATTCTGCAGAGGGGGGGGCTCCGTGTGACCGATGCAAACCGTGGGTGTACTCCCCTTGATTCACGGCGGCAACGTATCCTACGCTTGTCGTCGTTTGGACACCTACGATCTGCTACATGCGTCCAGAGCACACACATACACGTGCACGCACAAGCATCGTCCCGTGGAGAGGGCGCCCCTGCGTACATTATTACTTATGTTCCCAAGGAGTAGGACGGGGTGGGAGCAAGTCACATACATATATCACACCTCGACGTGTGGCCCCTGAACTCCTTGATCTTGAGCATGTTCGGGTACTTCCAGAGGCACAGCTGGTTCTCGCTGAAGCCGTGGGAAGACACGAGCTCCTTGTTGTGCCGAGACCACTGAAGGGAACACACCTTCGCTCAAAGACAACACAAGGGTAGCATGCATGCGTGCAAGCCGTAGACCCGGGTTAGGATGATCGGGGTGCAGGACTCGCGTGGAAAGCTCCAAACCCCACGTGCACACAGAACGGAGGCAACCACACCCACAGGGATGCATGCCTACCGCTAAGGATGGTTGGGATGGTTGGGATGGACGGGACGTACAAGGCTCGCGTGGACGGAAGAGCCCGACATCACACGCACACACACAGAGCAGAGGAAGGAGGCCAAGCCCAAACGACAGCAGCGATGACGCACGCCGAAACGTACAAGTGGAGAGACGGCCCTACCTAATTCGCCTCGCTAGCTGGAAGAAAAAACACCAGCGAAAGCGTTCATCCACGCGACAAAGTCGTAATTAGACGCCGCTATGTACATGCCGGAGTCTGGTGCTCTGCAGCACGGGCACGTCAGTCGCTCGGAATACCTGGCTTCCGGTGTCGACGGAGTTGAGCATCGCACCGTTCGCAGTGTTCCAGAACTGCGGTACAATTGTGGGGCGGAACAACAGTGTGATTGGTGGAGGGAGTCATGAAGGAAAGAATTTTTTTTTAGCACATCCACCAGGAAGTAGACGCGTGCGTGCATGAGTGTAGACAGCTGGGGTCGGGAGAAATACTCTGGGTTGAATGATTCCTGATGACCCAGCAGAAGGGAAAAATAAACGAGGATAATACGGCACAGTAAAAAAAAGTGGTACGGTAAGGCGTTATTTCGGACCACACCTGATGACCGACCACGCGACAAAAAACACACGGAAGGACGTACTGTGGGCAGGCAGTTCTGAAATCTTAACCGAGGACAGCAGTGCCATACAACCCAGCCACCCCCACACACACCTTGATGGTCCGGTCAGCGGTGCCCCCGCCCGATGCCAACAAGTGCCTCTGGGACGGGCACCACGCCAACGCCTTCACCGCCGCCTGGTGCTGCACTAGGGTCCTTCGAGGCCTGTGGACAGGGGACGAGCGGCCGCCGCTGCTGCCGCCACCGCCGCCACCTCCTGCTCCCCCCCTCCCGCTCATGCTGGCGTCCCACAGGCAGAGGAAGTTCTCGTTGCCCCCCGATGCGAGAGTGTTGCCGTCCGGCGACCACTTCAGTCCGCACACCTGATGCCGGTTGTTTGTGCAGTTTTTGCATTTCGTCAATTTGGAATTGAAAGTGACCTAGAAGATTGTGGGTCGAGAGCAAGCTGCCTTCGGCAATACGCACCAACTGATGGCTTTAGCATTTTTGTGACCACGGGCCGAGTCTTTGCTAGATTTTGGGATTAGCAACTGACATGAGTTTAATGTGAAGAAAAACAACAACAACAACCAACATTGTTGGAAACGAAGCGTCGCCCGACAGCACTCTCGATCTTGACTCAACTCAACAGCTGCACATAACACGAAAGACGCACCGACCACTACACCGCACGCGCGAACTACACCTCTACACAAAAACACCATGCGACGGGTATTGCATGTCCAGCTTACCTCCTGCTCATGTCCCGTGAAGGTAGCCATCTTGTGGTTGGGCATCCTGACGTCATGCTGGATGATGCTGCTATCCCTGGAGCCCGAGCTGAGGACGTGCCGCTTCCAGGCGAGGGTGCCCACGCGGGCCGAGTGACCCGACATAGTCCGAACCTGAAAACGAGAACAATAGCGACACGACGGTAATAAAATAAAGCGAGAAAAAGACCAAAAAAAGGGGGGAGATGACGGTAAAAAAAGAAAGCAAGACGACGATAAGAAACATCATTAAAGCAAGACAGCGGAAAAGAAAGAAACACAACGCAAGACGACCGACCTAGAAAAAGAAAAAAAGAAGCGACTCGTCGTGATCGAATGAGAGGTCAGGCATGGCTCGATTCTAATGGACCAATGAACTTGGCAGCAACGCTGGTACGATATTTTAGGAAGAGAGTCGTCGTCATAAAAAAGACAGGCCGACGTCGTTGGAGTCTCTGATTGGTCAACCAACAGGAGGGGAGAAGACAGATTTTTTCCTGCGCCTCCTCACACACAATTCACGGAAACGAGCGAGAACAAAAGTAGCAAACGTAAACGTGTCAGATCCGACGTAGGCCGGAACGAATGAGATGACACCAAAAACAATGGGAGAAGCACAATAAAAGTCTCGATTTGAGCTTGCTGAGGCGCTGGGCTGCAGGATCAAGAGGAACGAAGAAACTAAACAAAACAAAAGGCATGCGAACCAGATAAATGCCCAAGTCGCGTTGTACACAGAGACAGACTGCCTGACTGACTAACCTGTCTGAGCTTTGACGCGTCCCACAGCTGGACGGCGCTGTGGTTGGTGCCCACGCCCAGAAAGTCTCCGCCGTCTCTGCCCATCCACGCCACGCTGTTTTTTTTTTTGTTTTACACATCCATACATGACGTACGTCGTTTGGCCGCCCCAACGACATTGCGTTAAAAAAACACAAGTGCACACGGCATGGCAATCGTTAAAAAGAGAGAGAGAGAGCGTAAGACAATAGCAACGTTGTTCATCAATCCACACGAACCACGAAAGCAGAGAGTCAACAACGAGGGCTGTCAGGCATGTAAACACAACCATTCTTACGAGTTTCAAGGGTGAATTTGCTGCGGGAGCTTCAACTACGCCGCTCGCTTGGCACCAACAACAAAAAAAGAAAGCACCCCAACGTCTCCCAAAGAAAACGTAGTATTCAGCAATACAGTAGTAGTATACTGCTGTACCTCGTGACGAAGTCGTGCGGGTTGGGGAGTGTGAGGAGGTGCTCGATCGATCCCGTGGCCGCGTTCCAGAGGTAGACAGCCTGCCCAAGAGCAACGGCTAGCACCTGCGTTCGGATAGTTTTGCGTTTGCGCACAACAAAAAACAGCAGCACAGAGAGAGAGAGAGAGAGAAGCAGCGTTTGTTGGTTGTGATTAGCAACAAGACTGCACACTACCTGACCCCAAATAGCTGGTCTGCGCGTACGAAGTAAACACAAACATACCCCGGCACGTTCGCTTGAGCACCACGTGGAAAGCCATGCCGTAACTCAACAACTAACACCGACATGATTTTGGTGAACTTGGTCGACTCCTTCCACCAGGGGCGTCGCCTACAACACGCGGTCATAGCGGCTAGGCGGACGTTCGTGTGAATGAAGATGACACCAGGCCGCGCGGTCCTCGACCGAGCAAGTGAGGCTTTCTCACAACAAATGTGTTCATCTTGTTGTTGCTTGCTCACGTTGTTGTGTCCCCAAGAGATGAGGTTGAGGTAATAGTCGTCCACGAGGTCGGGCGCGTCGAGGATGCGCAGCGGTGCGGAGGGGATGCTCCTGCCCACGGACGCGCGGGCGATGGACGTGTTGCTCATGGTGTGCAGCACCTGGCGGGGGAAAGCACAGCAGCAGACGAGAACAAAAAAAAACTCAGAACGATGTCAATGTGCCGAGTGCAGGAGAGGGTTCGGTCGAAACTTATGCATTATCGGAACCAACAATCCTCTCTCGGCACTGGGAAGCTTCCAGAAACGCAACTAAACGGGACCAGGAAGTAAAGCCCAGCCCTCTCGCTTGTTGATGGCATGGCGACACAGGTCAGAGTTTTCCAACTTGTAAATGCACATACCCAACCTTGAAGGAACAAAAGCACCGACGCGCTCTCTGCCTGCGACTCTGTCCCTTCTTCGTTCGAATTTCACTCAACAGACACACACGATGACGAGCGCGGTGCGACAATCACAATCGCGTCCAACTCCCCCGTAAGCCGCGACGTTCTTCACTCGGAAAATATATTTATGTACATCGGTCGGGTGAATTGCGTTGCCAAAGGCCATATCGCTAACCCCACCCCCCCCAAAAAGAATGACAGCCTTAAAAAGAACTGACGCCTCCACACACCTTGAGGACGTTCGTGTACCGGTCTTGCGGCAGCGGCGGGCGCTCCGTGAACGAAAGTACTCGCGGGGACCCCCCCACGCTGCTCCCGCTCCTACCGCGGTCGCCCTTGCAAGGTCCTCCGGACATGGGGCTGAGGAGGGTGTTCCTAAGAGCCTGCTGGAACTCTCGGCGGAGGGGGGCGGGGGCGTCCGACCCGGGTTGCGGCTCGTTCTCGGAGTTGTCGCTGCTGAGCAGCATGTGGTTGCAGAGGTCGAAGTTCATCGACGGTCGGTTGGGGATAAAGCGGTCGCCCTGCTCAAGACCGGGATAACGAGAAAGGGGAGTAGAGAGCAAGCAAGAGAGAGAGGGAGAGAGGGAGATAGAGAGATAGAGATAGAGAGAGAGAGAGAGAGAGAGAGAGTGCGCGCTGCATCAGACACGGGGTTGTTGAGTGTTATCTCAACCAATCGCTGTCCACGGCGGTAGGGTGGTTTCGATTGGTGGTGCTTGCGGCGTTGTCAGCGGAACAACATCACATGCACCGAACCAAGATATCAAGCTTACCCTTGGTCGACAAGACCGGAACATGTCGCTCCCGCCTACCCAAGCGCCATGCGCCGCACTATCTTGAATGGATACAGTTTCGCACATAGACGAGTGTGCAGCACAGCATTCGCTGCAGATTCACCCAAAGGCTTGGGTCAGGCATGCCGTGCGACCACAGCATGTCGTTCTACCCCCCCTCTCTCGACCAGCAACCTTGGGGTGCTGCATGCATCCTGCACAATACGACAGCGGGTGGCGCCATATGTGATCTCGAGTGTTCGGTTGGCTGACCTCGATGTTGCGCGCACTGTTGCTGCTGCTACCGCCGCCGCCGCCCATGTTGCTGTGGATGATGTTTGCGCTCGAGGACGCCGGTGTGCGGGAGAGCTTACGCTTCGTGGTCGGGGTTGCGGGCTCCCCGCGCGCGGAGGAGGTCCCCCGCCTCGGGGTGGACGGAACGGATGATGATGTCCCGGACACTTTTGGTAGTTGAGGGGGGGGGGGGGGGGGGATGATGGAGAGAGGGAATATTAATATTGTATCCCCGTCGTCGTGAGCCAGCACCGATGAATGAAAGGAACAATGGATTGTACTTGGGAGATACGGAGTAGTAGTTTACGCCACCTGACCTGTGTTGGCCGACCCGTGTGGGAGCGGCATCCACCGATCTTCAGGTGTTCGTTCTACTAGCTAGACTGTAGCCCATACGGATACGGCTTGTCAAATATTACTGTAAATGTGTTGTGTTTAAAATACACTGCTGGGGGTAATTGTTGTTACTGCTGTTGTCGTCTGTCCTGTATGTGTTGTTGTGCGCGATGGTAGGCGTTACGTGAAACCTAACACGTGCAACTCAGCCAGGTGTAGATTATATCCGTAGATGTTGGCAAGTGTGTTTGAAGCTTGGCGATCTCGTAAAGATTCTCGCGGTACAGCAGACTGCTGTAGATCAACATGATAAGGACCGAAGGACCACCCTTTTACAGCACAAAATATTGTCCCCCCGGCAACCTGCTGCAGTTTATTGTAGCATTTGCATAGGAGACTACTTCTGTACAAGTACGATAGGATCCTGGAGCCGTCGTGATAAACTGCATCCCAAAGGTAGACAGGCACGGCAACTAGACTACAGTACCCTTGTTGCGCGGTAGAACTACGGCAGTACCGTAGGTGCCAGGACGAAGTACGTAAGATATCACACACCCCGGACCACCGATTTCAAAGCTCGCTCACTCACAACAGTATACAGCGTACTTGATACAGTTGTAATACAAGCGGAGTTGGCACCATCTCGTCGAGATCTTTCCGAAAATAAATAATGTGATTTGGGTATCCTCTTCGTTCTGAGGAGAAATTGAGCTTAGGGGGTGTGGTGTCTTGCTTCACCTACGGTAAAAGAAAGACTGCGGCAGCAGCAGCAGTCTGTGCGCTCAGCGGTAGATACTTCGGAGTTCACAGATGACACCCACAGCTGGCACACAACAAGCCCCACCAAACTGTGGTACAAACAACTACGTGTTGACTGCACCACACAGAAAGCGTGGTACAGCAGCAGTAGACCCTCACCCACTGTAGTGCCTACGTGCCTACGACATCGTCGGACGGCGGTGTATCTGCCACCAGGCACCAAATGCACCAACTATGGTCACAAACATTCACCTGGAAACAGGTTGCTGCCGCCGATGCCTGCGAGAAGGGCAGATGGTGAGGGCACCGAGCCCTGCTTCCTCGACGCCGTCGACAACCTAGGGCTGCCCTTCATCTTGCCCGCAGAGCCCATGCTAGGGGTGGCGTAGGCAGGCTGCGCTACTCGCCTGCGCTTCGGGGTGGAAGGCCCGCGGCGGGGTGCGAACATCATCTCCAGATCGTTCATGCTGTAGTGTTGTAGTTGGTTATCGTGCGTGCTTTCCCTCCGCTCTCTCGCAACGCTTATGTCAAACCTTTGTCAACACCGGACGCAGATCGTGATGGAATCTGCAAACCTCTCTCTTTCTCTCTCTCTCTCTCTCTCTCTCTCTGGCTTGTGATCTCTCGCGGTATAGAAAAGGCTACACACGGACGAAGTTGGAGCGCAGATAGACAGTGGAGAGAAACTTTCCCGCCAAAACGTCCAAATCCGGCGGGAGCGAGGTAAAAAGAGTCAACGGCAAAAAAAACGTACGTGAGTGAGTGATATCGAAAAGCTTCTCATATCTCTACAACACTGCAGTCTGCGTGCCCCCTGGGCCAGGCCCCGAACCCTGAACCCTGTCTGATGATCTCTCTGGCAGGCAGAGTCAACGTAACGACAGACAGGCGAGAGCAACTCGTGAAGAGGAGATGTTCTCCTCCAGCGTCATCCGACGGGGACGCTGCTCCCTGGCCAGGCCACCCGCTGCAACGCGTTGCAAAGTGATAGTAGTAGACCGAGGTCAACCACAGACCAGCAGGAAAGGTCAACAACATGCGGCGATCCATCGGTGTCCCGCAGGTGCAGCCGCAACAGCACCGCCAGCTAGAGGCGGAGGGGCACCGTCTGGAGAAGCAGCGGCGGGAAAGGTACAGGGAAGCATCGCTAGTTGCTGCGGGACGAAACACAATCTAGTGCTTGGGCCGGGGATTAAGCAGCATCAATATTTTCTGTCGGAGACCACCGGCGGGACTGTCAACTGGCGACGGCACGCATCGACGCTGAGTCGGGGCGACAACTGCTGTCTCTCGCTGCGACCAGGGGCCGCTTCGTCTGCGTTGCGCAGCCGATCCTTGCAGACTGGTGGGCCCGCTCTTCAGCTAGATAGGCGTGGTTTCTCAGCTGGACAAGGGCCCGACAGCGATCACGATGGCGGTTACGAATATGACTACAGCAGCGGCGACAGCGGCAGCGACAGTGAGTGCGAGTCTGAGAGTACGCTTTTCGGGGCTAGCAGCGGGGCAAAAACGGCGGCGAAGACCGAGGAGGCAGGGGCACTGACAGCGGTGAAAGAACCACCGGCGAAGAAGAACACGAAGCCCAGAATACCGCGCAACAGACGCGGTGGGAAAGGCGAGAGGAACCCCTCTCCGACAGAAGCCGTTCAAGCGGTAGCAGTAGCGGATGGGGATGCAGGAACACCGGCACCGTCACCCGAGGCCTCAGAAGCACCGCCAAAGAAGGCCCCAAAGGCCAAAACCCCGCGCAAAAGACGTGGCAACCAAGTCAAGAGGAACCCCTCTCCGACAGCAGCCGCTCAAGCGGCAGAAGCAGCGGACGGGGAAGAAGCAGGAACAACAGCAACCGAGGCCGCAGCAGACCCACCGGCAGCGAACAAGGCCCCGAAGGCCAAAGCCCCGCGCAAGCGACGTGGCGGCCAAGGCGAAAGCTCCCGCTCTCCGAACGCTGGACCCAAAGATGCAGAGAGAAAAGGTGCCGCAGCAAATGCGGCGGAGGCAGGAACGGACCCGAGAGTCCCCAAGGAGAGGAAGGCGTCGTTCGAGCGCGCGCGACGTGCGGGCGTAGCCCGAAGAATCGAAGAGGGAGGGGGCGTTCCGCGGGATAGTGATAGCGGTAGCGGCAGCGGTAGCGGCAGCGAGGCCGACTCGGGCGGCGAGGGAGACGAGGGCAGCGTCCCCGACGAGTCGCCCTTTCCGTGGAAGGAGGCAGAAACGCCTCCTTTCACCTGGCAGGACCCGGATGCCCCCGTCGTTCCCAAGCCTTTCCTGGGGGGAAGCGGCGCCGACGGCGAGAAGGGCGGGGCGGCGGCGGGCGCGGAAGCGAAGAGCACCGGGGGCGGTGGCAAGGCAAGTTCCTTGGCGGCGTCTGATTCGTCATCATGTGTACGTATCGTTGTGGTGGCAAACTAGCTCTTGTGGCAGCATTTGGCCTTGGCAGCATCTACGCGTGGCACCTGTAAGCTTGCAAAGCCGTTTTCGATTGACAGGATCGAGGGGAGACTGACTATCTGTGTTGACAAATGGTTGGCAGTTGGGCGGATGGCCCACTGCATGTTCCAAAACGGTGTTGCATTTTGAGAAGGCCTACGATACGATGCACGGGTGTTTCCAGCGAGAGTAGTGAACACGCTGTCATGAATCCAGAGTGTAATGCCCCCTGAGCTTGACGCCAAACGTCTCAACCCGTTGAATTAAGCTTCACACACTGCACACCGACGTTTCCCGTATTTCTCCACCTCTGGTGGTCTACATGTGTCACAGGTAGTTTTGGTTACTTCGTCGCATGTGTTTCATGATTCACTGCAACTGTCGTAGCGATCGACACTGGTCCGTCTGTGGGATGGCTTTTTCCCCACGCCTTTCGTTCGATGGCACGGACCATCGGTGTTGATCGCTCAGCAATGTACGCGCTGTGTTTGTGAAGAAGGACTCATTCGTTTTCATTTCGTGCAGCTGTCCCAGCGAGCTTCCAGCGTCTGCGTACCGCCAACCCCGTTGGTGGGGGCCAGTTCCTTCGCTTGCTGAGAGAAAGCTGTCATGTCCATTTTTTTTTCGAATGCACACACCGGGATGGCCGTCATCAACCCCGATTTTTCCTGCTACGACATTCCCCAGATACCACGCCCCCCCCCCCCGCCCGCCAACCCGTCTCCAGTCTACACGAAGAAGAGGTCAGCGCAAGAAGACCCAACAGCAGCAGCTGCAGCTGCAGCAGGAAGAGCACCCAGTGCTGGGATGCTTGGTGGCCGACCTCAAGTACAAGCGCGTGTACGTGTCGTCCTTGGAGGCCCTGGAGAAGGTGCGGGTGTGGGAGGAGGCGCGGACTCTGCGGCCGGTGCACGCGGCCGAGATCTTCGAGGGCAAGGCGATCGAGGCGCAGAAGCTCGAGGTCAGGCGGGTCAAGGAGGACGGCAAAGAAGAGAAGGACGAGAATCTGGTATGTTCAGATGCTATGCAATTTGTTGTGCACGGATGAATGCCTGCTTGTTTGTGTTTGGTTGGCTGTAGATGTGTTTGTTGGTCGGCTTGATGTTTGCCCGTGCTGCACAACAACGTTTGATTTGCTGTGCTCGGGGACGTATTTTACTGGCTCGTTTGCTTTCTGCGTTCGCGCGTGGCAGTCCTTCTCTTGCACGTTTCTGCTGTATTTTGTTGCCGCGTGTAGAACCTGCTTGTTAACGTTGCGGGCAGCCCGTTGCTTGTTGTTGGTCTCTCGTATTATTTACTCCTCCTTCTGGGCAATGCTGTCGTTGGAACAAGCCTTTGACGTGTTTGATGCAGTCGCCCCGCGTCTAGAGCACAAACGAGTTGATGTGCCTGATTTCGCTTCGCTTAGACCCTTTTCGCTCGATCGGATTTTGGTGTGCCTCGAAACCAGCATAGTCGCGTAAACCTCTGGCCGACCATTGAACAGACGTCAGTACCAGTGCGGTTGAAACAGAAAGTGCTTCTAAAAGGCGTTGTGTGTGTGCGCATTTTGCCCATTCTTTGCGAGACAGGTGGCGAAGGGCATGCCTGGAGTGATATCTCTCTACCGACGGCCGCTCTTGCCGGTAGGTTGTGTTAACGCATCGCTGGGGACGGCGGCCTAAGCTGTCCTTCCGCTGGTTTTCCGTGCGGTTATGCGGGTGGTGCTGGTGTCTTGTTTTGTTGTGTCATGTCTTTGTACAGATCAAATCTCGTCGTTGGAACGACGTGGTTGTGGTCGTGGTACAAGGCAAGGCCCACCGTCGTTACTGGCACGGAATACCGAGCTTCCGTCCCGTTGCCGTTGAGTACCACGTTATATGAACACCTCACCAAGAAGCCTAACGGACCTACGGCGTTAGCAACACCATCCCAGGCACGTCACCCCCCGGTACACTTATGTTACAGCTGCGGCGGTGCCCCCTCTGTCGCTTAGTGTATACCTACCCCATGTACAACTGTTCCCTTTTTGTCTCAGCCTTTGCTACCGCCGCCGCTGCCACGGGAAGCTGACGAAGAGAAATCCATGACGCATGTTCACCGCTGTTGTCTTTTTTTTCTCTGCCGTCGCTGCCGCCGCCGCTGCCACGGGAAGCTGACGAAGAGAAATCAGCAGTACGTCTTGGGGGTCGTCGATGGGCAGCACCGCCTACGGGCGCTGAAGATGCTGGCGGACGCGAAGATGTGGGACCACTCGGAGCGGAACGTGGTGGTAGAGGTGTTCGACGCCAAGGACGAGAGGGACATCGAAGAGCTGTACGCGGAAATCAATAGGCGAGAGAGAAGAGAGCCCTACTGTACCCTTCCGCCGCAGTGAATTTAGGCACCTCTAGCAGTGAATGGGAGGATATGAGCAGAGGAGTGGCGCTCCCGTCTGGCGTTGGAGCAGTCGTTTCTCACCGTTGGTGTAACTGTACACAACAGTCGGCATGGCATTTCCTCAACCACCCAGGTGTGCTGTGAGTGCAACTGTTTTTGAGGAGTAGGAGTGAAAAGGGCAGCGGCGGTTTTAGTGGAACGTACTTGAGTATCGATAAGTAGTTGTTGTTGTAGAAAAGTACCTTACCAAAGAGGCCTGCTCGGCTATGCGGATCAAACTACGCCCCGTGATTCACTGCAATTGGTTGGACTTTGTTAAGGCTCTCCTTACAATCAAGCCCGCACCAGAGGCTTCACGGAAGACAAGATCAATTGCTGGTATAGCCAGTGGCTTGGCGCGTGGAAAAAGAAACGAGAATGACCGTTGGTTGATTCTGATCGATGCCACGGGGGAACCTAGGTACCCTCGCTTTAGCCAACAAGCCATGATGGTAGGCGTAGGGCATGAGGTAGAATAGGACATAACAGCAGTGAGGACTGGAAAATGCTGCTCTGGCAGTGTCCTGTTCATGGGTGTGCAGCAGCAGCATGAGGGGGGGGAAACCACCCGCTTCACAACGTTCGCGGCTCCTCGCTCAACGCACAACACATGATGGAAAATTGTGGCCGTGACACAGCAGCAAGCTTGGAGGTGTACATGATTGCGTGTCTTACTCGAATTGTTTGTGCATGTCCCTCTCGAGTCTGCCATCCCCGCGTTGCAAAACGCTGCCGACCCTCTGCCTTTTGGAACACACCAAAACGTGCTGATGGTAACACCGTTTGCCAACCCGTGTTTTGTGCGTTCCGCGTTTTGTCACTCTTCTTTTTTTTCTTGTATTTGTCCCGGCCAGGGCGGAGCCGGTTCAAATCGATCTAGACATACCAGGGCCGCAAGAGGTGTACAAGTGCGCCGAGGAGGTTGTCCTTCACTTGTACAAGGTAAGGGGGTCCCAACAAACAGGTTGATGATTTGCGGAGCCCCGCCCTGGCAAAAAAGTGGTGAACACTACATGCAACACCGCGTAGGATACTCAACCTTGGGTTATCGCATCGCTCCCAACAGCGGTGGCATGCTCGGAAGTTCCTTTTCGCGAAACGAACGGGAGTCGCACACGAAGAGGCTGAAAACATTCTAGTCTTGTTTCCTTGGTTTTGGTTGTGTTCGCTGAGCTGATCCTGTTTAGTGCTCTACCGCCGAAGTGTTACTGCACAACAGTAAATCTGTGGTGGCGAGGACGGGGCGGGTGCTGCTCTAGGGCGAGTGCGGCACACTCTTGGGGGCTGCAATTGTCTGCGTTCCCCTGAGGACCAATGCAATAAACAAACTCGATCCCGTCATCCTGTCTGTAGAACAGCTCGTACTTGCCACTAACGAGGATTTCACGCACATGGAGGAATCAAGAGGTGTGGTTCAACCCTGGCCGGAAGAGGGACATTCGTTAGTTGTTAAAGGGATTTGTTTGTGAACGGTGGGGTTTTGCACCGTTCCAAGACGGCGGCAGACTGCCTCTGCTATGGCGACTGATCGTTTCCAGTCGGCGTCGTGTTGTTCGGCATCCGAACGTCGGTCGCCATTCGTGTGTATCGATTTTTTTGTAGTATTTCACGTACTGAGGGCGAATCGTGACAGCCTTTTGAACTCTCCCTTGTTTTTCGCTTGTTCGTTACGATTTTTCTCCCTCTTTTGGTGACGATGAACATCAATGGCCTTTGGCCACGGCGCGCCTTCTCCACCACGACCACGCCCAGCAATTCCGGCCCATGTTTGGGGGCAAGAGGGTCCGCCCGCCGACCCTGAACGCCATTGTCTTCCGTGAGAACGTGAGGGAAAACGCACCGTGCTTTGGGTTTTGTTTTGGTGTGTTTGATTCGCGTTTGGTTGGCTCGCTTCGCTCGGCATTGGCTTCCTTATTTGCTTGGGGGGGTGGGGGGGGGGTAGCGCCTGCTGTTTTCTCGCAGCGAAGATTGTGGGTTCGAGTTGGCGTCCTTGACAGGGATATGTCTTGCGCAATAGTGCTAGCGCGTCTCCCTTGTTCCTCGCGGTCGACTTTCACGACAAACGTCTAAGTAGGAGACATCGATCGAGGCCCTCGCTGGCTGATAGGCGGCGTCGCCTGGTTCTTCCGCCACGTAGAGCATCGAAAATACCCACGGGCCGGTCTCTAGATCGCGACCTGCCGGTCCTACCGGTTCAACCGTACTGTAACCTGCTCTTGTCGCTGAACCTGACTGGTACGGCGCGGCGTGACCCAGCTGCCGGAAGGTTTGCTCCGCATGTCCGTGCTTCCCCATTGACTTTCCGCCGTATGTACGCCGTAAAACGCTTAGGCCAACCTCAAACACCGACGCCAACGCCAGTTGGTGGGTAAAAGGCGTTATTTTCCGACACAAACTTACCGGCCTCACCCTCGCGACTGCCTCTCACCCTCTGTATACGAAAACCGGGACGCTTGCTTGTCCCAATCTTTTTTTTTTTTGCGGCTCAGTTGATAAGAACCGGGTTGATCGAGCGGCACGAGCTGTTCACCCCCCACCTTCTCCTCGACTTCCTGCTGAGGGTGAACGAGATGATGTCCAGGCGGGACGTGCAGACGTGGGCGCTCATGGTCGGCGACGAGGAGGGCTGCTATGTGAGCGGCCACGGCAGCACTAGTATTTTGGAATTTTTTGGTAGATGTGTTCAATAAGTCGCGCCGACTTCGGTCGTTTTGCAGGCGCTATATACCTACCTTGACTTCTTCGTTTGGCAGTTCCAACGCGGGGTCACATTAAAAGACCCCCCCCGCATTGCGTGCCTTAACTCGTTCCTTGTCCCTTGCGGCGTGTTGTGTAAGACAAAGCTCAACTCTTGTCGCCGAGTGCACGCGTTGTAAGGGAAGCGCCTGCTTGCGCTGACTCTGTGTCATCGCGCAATGTGCATGTTGCAAACCTCGCGTAGTCTTTAATCAGCAAGAACATCCCCTCCGAAGAATGCCACGCCCAACCTGCTCAACCTCTTGTTTTAGGAGTCCCTGCTAGTGCGCGGTTCGTCACCTGCGGCCGGCGAGGCTGTCAGTTTTCCATGTTCGATTCGTGAAAAATATGCACTTGTAGATATCATGGTCAAGGGTTTGCTAGACAGAAGCTTTCGGGGTTGGCGCTCGGTAAATGGCACATCAAAACGGTGTGGTCAGTCTGGCGTCTCGAGTTCTCTTCTCGAAAACACATGGCCCCGTGTTGGCGACCGCGACGCAGTACCAGAACTCGTGAAGCCAAATCCCCCATCCACTCTCGACTGGACTACTGCTGTCTTGAGCAGATGGAAAATGAATAGGAAAGGGGACGATAAGTGGTAAACGGTCACAATGGCTAACGTAAATCAACACCACATGAGTGCCCCCCCCCCCCCCACCCCCCCCCAACTTTTTTTTTAACCCCCCCTTTTCCCTTTCTTTTTTTTCCTCCCTTTCCCTTTCCTACCCCCCCCCCCCCCAACTAAAAAAAAAAAACCCCATTTATTAAACCCCCCCAAAAAACCAAACACCCCAACTTTTACCCTTCCAAAAAAACCAAATTCATTCTTCTTTTAAACAAATAACTCACCAAAAAAAATTCCCCTTATTTTTTTCCCCCCCCCCCCCCCCCTATTATCAACATCCTCCCCCCCCTTTTTCGGGTTTTTTTTTTTTTTCCTTTTTTATTTTTTCCCCTTTTTTTTCCTTTTTTTTTTTTTTTTTTTTTTTCCCCAAAAAACAACGGTTTTTTAACTTTTTTTTTTTGTTTTGAAAAACTTTTTTTTTTCCATTTTCCCCTTTTTCCTTTTTTTGAAGAATTTTTTTTGGAAAAGCCGTTTTTTTTTTTCTTTTCCAACCCTTTTTTTTTCTGTGGGGGGAGGAGGTCAATTTCTTTTCTTTTTTTTTTTTTGTGTACCCCCCCCGGCCCCTTTGTGTTTTGTCCCTCCCCCCCCGCCCCCCATTTTTTTATTTTCTTATTTTCGGGTTGTTTTTTTTTTCCACAACGCGGTTTTTTTTTTTGGCCGTTTCCCCCCTTTTAACCCCCTTCCCCCTTTTTTTTCCCCCTTTTTTTGGAAAATTTTTTTTTTTTTTTTTTTTCAGGGTTTTTTCCCCTTTGGGTTTCTTTTTTTTTTTTTTGGCTTTCTTTTTGGGGCCCCCTTTTGTTTCCACCCTTTTTTGGGCTTTCGGGGGGGGGGGCCCTTTTTTTTTTTTGGTTTTTTAAATTTAAAGGGGGGTTGAAGGGAAGGTTTCCCCCCCCCCCCCCTTTTTTAGAAAGAGCCACCCCGGCCCCCCCCCCTTTTAGTTTTTTGCGTTTTTCCCAGGGGGGGGGGGGGCGGCGGTGGGCTTCGGAATTCAAAATGGCCCAAAACCAAGAAAAAGAGAGAGACGGGGGGGGGGGGGGAGGGGGCGCGGAGAGAGACCACACAGACACAATCATGTCACCGAGTGGGGGGGCACGCGGTTCCAAGGGTGATAAAGCACGAAAACTTTGTTTGTTCGAATCCAAATCGCGCTTGGTCTCGCAACCCACGTATCCGAACGCTTGCCCCGGCCGCTACACGTCCATATCTTCGTCACGGGCCATATCACCCTACAGTACACTAAATATTCGACAATACTGCAGAACGAGCCACCACTTTAGAACCTGTTTTTTTGCCGAGGATTCTGTTTTTGTCTATGGGGTACTGCACTGTGCCCCTGACGGCGACTATGTAAGTGTTGTGTGCCCTTCTTGACTGAGAACCTGTTCTTGTTGCGGACAAGGTCCTACAGCAGTAGGTTATGTTAGGCTCCAAGTTGCGGCCAAGTTCTTACTGCTTTCTACACCGTTGACGGCGTGTCGCAGGCGTGGTGTGCTGGTTGTCGGCCGCAAACGCCCTGATCTCCCTGCGGATGGGGCTGTGGACGAACAGTCTTCTGCTGTTTGACGCCGAGTCGAAGCTGGTCGGCCAGAAGCGGTCAACCTTCATCCCGGCCCCTGCGTCGTTCCGGGAGTGGTTCGGCCAAAACGACGACAACAGCAGCCAGCCCTAGCACAAGCAACGACCACATTATCACCGCTGGCAGAAAAATCCCGAAGCTTGGGAGGGCTTCGTGTGATCGATGGCTGTTCTTGACAGCTTGTTGGCGTTTGCTGCAGCGCTCGCAGGATGATGTTTGCCCCAGTGTGCTCACGGGAGGGTCCTGTAGACAACAATAATGGCCCGGAAGAGAGACGGCATGTGTGTGTGGTGTCCAGCTCAACGCGGAGTTTTCCGGAGGAGCAAGGGTGATGTTGCGAGTGGTGGTGGTGATGGTGATGGTGACGACAAGAAGGCCAACACGACGATATAAAGGCTGCCTTCTCTTTGCTCTCACCTACTGCATGTCCTTACCGTCTCCGGGGAGAATATGGTATGTAAAGAGGCTTTCGATTTTGCAGGGAGAGAAAATTCAAGCATGTTTGACATTGGGGGACGGACGACTTAGCATCGTAGGTCCAAGGGCGTGCCGCTGTTGTTGAGCGCACAGCAGTAGTTGTTGATCGAGAGAGGCGCGATGAATGGCTGCGCTGGGCACCCTGCGCCGCACACGCGACACTTTCGTCCGTCATCATGGACAGGCTTTACACCTACCTCCCTTTCTCGTCGAATGTGTTGGTGTGCATAATACAGACCCCACGCTACACGTGACCGCGGCAGAGCCCTCTCTCTCAAGCCTTCATTTTTTTTTGTCACTATTGACTTATAGGGTGGGGCGTACTGACTCAAGCAACGTTTTGTCTGGCCGTTGTTCTGGGGGAGGAACATACATCCCTGGTAGACTAAGGTAACTGTTAGTGTGAGGAGGAGCAGATTCCGCTGGGGATTGGAAGGCAGTCGCCGAATGGAACACGTGCAATCTCATGGATCTTGTCATGGCGGATGTGGGTGGGCGTCTTGTTTTTTTTGTTGCGTGGAAAGAAGAGCTCTCCGTCTAATAGAACGCCCCATGGGCGGTGTGGGGCTGGCGGTACGTTCAGCCTTGCTTACAACCTGGAAAGCTTCCCCCGCAAGCCTGTTAGTGCGACGGGTTCGCGGCATGGTCGCGTAGTGTTGTTGTTGTTGTTGTTGTCTTCACATTAAAAAAAAAAGTGTACAGTAATTTATTAATGTTGACTGCTGTGGTGGTGGCATACGTTTACAGTGTAGTGTAGTTTAGTTTGCGTCTCGAGTGAGTCTGGCCGCCGGCCAATGAACACGGCGGGGGGGGGTCCCAACTCAGACGGCATTCGACGTGGGGGGGGGGGGGGGGGGGGGGTTTTTTTTTTTTTTGT